TGTGCCCGTGCCGAAGCTTGGGTGTTAACGGTCGGGTGGGTGCCGAGTGCTGACCCCCAGGCTGCAGGGCTGCTCCATGGTAGCCCTCATGTGCCCATTTCTGGCTTCTGTATGGGGTCCAGGTGGCAAAGGAGTCGCTAGCTCTGTGGGTTTTGCGAGCCACCCCTTCACCCCATATGGTGAAGGGATGAGGGTGATGGCTCCTTTACCTCTTCCAGGCTCAGACCTTCCACGTGGACCTGCTGCAGCACATGGAGAAGAACGCCAAAATGGAGTTGCAGTTCATCAGTGTGAGTGATGAACTCCCTTCTCCTCAACCCTCCTTGTTTCCCTCTCCCCTCTACCCAAGGGCTTTCGCTCGAGCACTTGAGGTGTTTCCTTGACTTTCCTCAGCAGGAGTTAGGGGGCCTTATCTTCTTCTCTCATCATAGACCAAACCCCACCTAGTTTGGATGATGATGATGCTCAACCACCTCAGGCTAAAGAGGGCGGGGAACTCTTCTCCTTTGTGCAGTGGGACTTGCTGAATGCTTCAACGGGGCTCAGACACTTGGCATCCCAAAAGCAGAGTTCCCAGCTTCCCTGAACCACAGCCTTTGCATGGGTGTGGGTTCTGTGCCATTGTGGCCCAGGTTGGCCATGCTAGTGGGTAGTGTCATGGAGGGAAACAGAGGCCTGGGGGCTTGCTCCCAGTGCCGGGGGAGCTGGGCCCCAGGTTTCTTTGCTCCTGAGATCCTGAGGCTCGTTAGCGCTCTGGGGCCCTTCAAAATGAAGAGAAAGGTAAAGAATGACTTTTTATAAGAGGTCTAGGTGAAGCCTGATTTCAGGGGGACTCAGATGCTCAACCACCCATCAGAGCAGGACCCCTGCTGCATCACAGTGTGGCTGGGTCTCCGGTGACTCACCCAGCCTGGTTTCTCCCTGGCAGGAAAGCCAGAAGCAGTATGAGCTGGAGTACCAGCGCAGAGCCACCAACCTGGATAAGTGTATGGCAGAGCTGTGGAGAATGGAGAGGGCCCGTGATAAAAAAGTCCGGGAGATGAAGGTGAGCAGGGATTGCAGGAAGAGTTGGAAGAAGAACTGGATGATTTATCTGGAGCCAGGACTGATTTTTGAGCAACCTTGCCCTTTCTTAAAAGCCAGGGGATTGTCCCCAGTGTTCAAAAGGCAGCAGGCTTATCTGGAAAGGAGGAAACTCCTTTTCTACAGGGTGCTGTTGACCTGTGGTGCTCACTCCTGCCAAGCCCTTGCCTCCTTTAGCAAGCCTCATTGTGCAAGGACTTGGTCCCTGGCACTCTGCTCTAGCTCCTTTGTGCTGCTTCAGCACTGCGAGTGGACTGGGAAGCTGGTGATGACCTGTTTCACCCCTTCCCCTGCTGTGTGTGAGCCCGCTCTGCTGGATTTACACTGATCCCTTCCTCCTTCTTTCCCCTGTGGCCCAGGAGAATGTGATGCGACTGCGCTTGGAGATGCAGGCGTTTGTCTCTGAGAGCCAGAGAGGGGCTGAGCTGGAGGAGAAACGCCGCTACCGCTTCCTGGCTGAAAAGCACCAGATGCTCTACAACACTCTCCTCCAGTTTTACAGCAGGGTATGACCCTGGCGTGCCAGGGAGCGGAGCTGGGGGAGCAGGCAGCATGGCTGGAGGGGCGGCATGCAGGCAGGAGGGAGCCAGGGCTGAGGCACCCCTTGGGTGAAGGCAGCGTCTGTGCATGGACTGGGCAGGAAACTCCATTTAATTTCTTGCTCTGGGGTCCAGGCTGACTGTACTAGGCTGAGAGAGCATGGCCAGGGGTGAAGATGGTGCTGACATGGGGTTAGTTGGGTGTGTGAGCAACGGGAGAGGGAAGGGCGATGTAGGTGTTTATGGCAGGGTCATTTGGACCACGGGGTCTCTGCTGGAGGGTGCCATCCTAGAAATTCACTTCTGTGGGGCTCTGTTTAGCCATTCCCACAAACATAATTGTGGGAGGACCTGGTCCCTAATCTAATGCACGTGGCAGCCCCAGGTCCCTCTGTAGCTGTTCTGCCCTGTCAGTCACCCCCTCTTCTTCTCTCCCTCCTCAGGCCCGGGGCGTGATCCAGACCAAGGCACCGCAGTGGAAGGAGCAGCTGGAGGCCAGCCGCAACCCCTCAAACAGCCACTCTCAGGGGCTTCTCATGGCCTCCCATGGCCAGGGGTATCCATCGGGCCGGCTCACCCCCACCCACCTCGAGATGGTGAGGAGCCCGCAGACAGCCTCTGCCTTGGCGGTGGCGAGGCTGCAGCTGTGCCTTTCAGGCTGCAGGGCAAGGCCAGTCCTTAGCCGACCGTGGTACTTGCTGCCTTGTCCAGCTTCCGTGGCCTTTCCTGGCCAAGATGAAGGGAAGCGTGTGTATGGGCTGCAATGGGGGAATGTGCTGGGTTTGGCTTTCTGAGAGGGACTGGGTATCTCTCAGAGCATCTCCCGCTTGACGCAGCCTGTGTGGATTCAGCCTCCTTTCCTTCCAACAGCCCCAGAGACCCCTTGGGGACTTTAGTTCTCCCATGACTGGGAGTAGATCCAGCGCCTTCTCTCCAGAACCTCCAGAAATGAGACTGTCTCCTCAACCAGAGCTCCCCAGGCAGCCACTGCGGAGGACACCATCAGGCAGTATGACCCATGTCCGGGAGCAATGCTGTGGGGAGACACAGTGGTTTGGCCTCTCTGGGAACAGGGTTGGGTTTGGGGGGGGACCACCACTCTGTCAGACCACTGGTCCTCAGCCACATTCCTGGGCGTGATGAGAGGACAGTGCATATGGGAGCTGGGGAGGGCAAGGCTGAATGAAGTAGGGGGTAAGCACAACCTTCAGAGCACGGTCCATCCAGGACAAGGCCAGGTTTCCTGGCTGGCTGTGGCGGGGGGGAACACACAGGTGTGCAATTTTCAAGACTCCTTGAACCATGAGGTCTGGTTCTTACTGGAGTTCCCATTTTGGTAATGCACCTTCCCTTGTGCTACCAGATTAAATATTACCCTGCCCTACAAAACCCAGCCAGTTACCTCATGTCTCACCTGCTTTTCCTTCCTGAAAAATTTCAGCTTAAAGTGTTTAAAAAAAAAAAGAAAGGGCAGTGGAAGAGAACGACCCAAATTCTCAGTTGCTCTAGCAGGGTTGGGAAGAGGGACATCAGTCAGTCATTTAGCAGGCAGTGCTTGTGCCCTAGACATCTGGCCAAAGAGGACATAGTGCAAAGCAAGTGGTTTCAGCTTGAGTTGATTTTCTCCTGCAAGATGAATGGTTTACCCTTTCCCATGCTATGCCCTGCTCTCTGCTTGCAGAGAACGGCCATCCACCATCTACTCCTCTAAGATAATTACTTGGCTGGGGAAGCGCTGGTCCCTTCGAGGCAGCGTGGGTCTTGCAGCAGGCTGCTGGACTCCAGCCAGACCCCTTTGATGCCTCCCTGCAGGTTTGCTCCCTGCTGGCCGTACCTCCCGTTCGGGTTCCTTTGGTGAGGCCAGCAGTGGCAGCGAAGGCAGGAGGAGGAGCGGCATGGTGAGAGTGCAGGCTATTGTGCCCCACGCAACGGGTGCCAACCGGACCCTGCTACGGTTTGACCCCGGGGATGTCATCACGGTGCTGATGCCGGACGCGCAGAACGGCTGGCTGTATGGCAAGCTGCAGGGCTCATCCACGTACGTGACTTGGTGCTGTAAATTGGCCTGGCAGGCTGATGCAGGCTTGTCGGGTCTGGAGCTGGAAGGCTCAAGCCCGAAATTATCTCCCCCTTTTCCCCCTGGTGTGGCCTGGGCACTGTGTCTCACCCACCATCTGGGTGGGACATCGCCATGGCCTCAGTCATGGGTTGTGTCTAGCACGGGGGCTCTCCAAGCCGAGGAGATGTGGTGGGGCAGGGTGAGCGTGGGTGAGCTGCCTGAGAAAGCTCCAGGGGCTTTGGGTAGAAGAGCCAGGGATGCAGTGACCCTCTCCTGGCTTGCATGACTGAGTGACTCCTGTCATGGGACCCAGCTCAGGGCCGTGAACTGCTGGAGTTACCTGAGAAGCCTGGCATTTCTCAGCTCACAACGCAACTGCTGCCGCACCCTCCAGGACAGACAGGGCATGGAAACTGCTGCACCCGGCGCTTACTGAATTACTCCCTGTGGCGCTGCTGGCCAACACCTGTGTGCAAAGCCTGCCCTCTTCCACACGGCATCCCTGCACCATGCTCTGCAGGGAAGCTCACACTCAGATGTCAGATGAGCAAAAGCAGTGCCTTTTTGGGGGGTTTCTGGGGTGGAGCTGCTTTGCCCTGAGGAGAAGGGATTTCCTCAGCTTCCTTGTGTGCCAGCCTTGGTGACCATGCTCAGTCAGAGCGTCTCTTCCTGGGTTGCACCAGCGTTGCTCCCGATAGCAGGCATTTTGCACAGCCTCTGAGATAACCGAGTCCTGCTCCAAGCTCAAGAACTGTCTCTCAAGAACCTCGTGCCCCACCTAGGGGTGAAAGATGTGCAGAAATCCTGTCACACATGGTAGCGGCAGCAGCGGCTTGGTTGATGCGTGGAATGGGTATAGATCAGGAGTGCTGGGCAGCTGGATCTGAAGAACCACAAACCATGGTTGCCTGGACCTCATTCATCTCTGTTCCTGTGCCCTAGATGTGGCTGGTTCCCTGAAGCTTATGTCAAGCCTCTGGAGGATGCGAGGGAGATGGAGGAGCCAGTCACCAGGTAACAGGAGAGCAATTGGCCAGGCAGGAGCTGGAGTGGCTCCTGGTAGGTCACTAACACCAGTGGGATACCTGTTTGGGGTGTGCCCCGTGAAAAGCTGCAGTGCTCCCATGCTGGAGCATCTGCTGAGAGCCTTGCCGTGCCCTGAGATCTCACAGGCTTACCCTAGATGGCTCCCCTAACACATGCAATATCTTCTCAAAGGCGCTTGTGACTGGGATGGTCCAAGCTATGTGTATTTTCTCCAGAGACATCCCATAGATACATGTTGTGGCTAGCACCTGTGCTGCTCCCTGTTCCTTGCTCTTTGACTCTCACCCCACTGTCTTCTCTTGCTCAGGTCCTTCCCACTGCGAAGCAGTCACAGCATGGATGACATCCTGGACCGTACCAGCACTCCTTCCTCTAGCAATTACTGGCCTGCTGCTGCCCAGCCCAGCTTGCCGAACCCACCTCCCCTCTCGGTGGGTGCCAGCAGTCACCAGAGTGGGGTGGCCACCCCAGTCAGTTCTGGCTCCAAGGTGAGTGCAGGAGGAGTGACTGGTGTGTGTGGAGTGGGCCACATCTGACTTTCATCCTCCAAGGCACACCTTTTCTGCATTGGCCTGTTTAGAAAGAAAACCACCTTCCATATGTTGGTGTATGACCTCCTCCCTTCCTCAGCTAAGGGGTCTTCTTAGCACTGGCTTTTCTCACCCAATCTGTTCACATGCCACCATGTCCTAGTGGCCCCTGCCAGTCAGCCTTGTGTGTACAGATCCTCAGTGCCTGGCTTTGCTCCCCCAAGGGACTGCTTTTCTGCCCCTGCCCTCCTCATTTCTCTCTCTTTTTGCTCACCAGGGACGCTTCAGTTCAGTCCTTTTCTCCATGACCTCCCAGCCTGATTTCTGGTGGCTCCAGGGCAGCGCCTCTTTCTGCTAATAGTAGGACCATGGAGTGATCAGGCTGGGCTGGGAGTGGGTGACCAGCTAACAGAGATGCCATCCTCCTTCTCCCTTCAGAGAATGGAGAGGAGTTTCATAGGGCTCCTCTTCTAAATTCAAGCAAGGGTTGGGTTAAAGTCACAGCTGGGGTACAGGAAAAGCTAGGGGCAAAGGCTGAGAGCACAGCCATTTTGGAGAGCCTTAGAAAAAGTTGTGTCCAACCTACGGCTTATGGCTCCACTTATCACTGCTTCCAGCTGTGGGGAATTGACTGGTGAGGACAGTCAAAGTTAAAGTTGAGTACAGTTACAGATGAGGAACCTGGGAGAGGGAAGGACGGTGCTGCCTATGGGGCGTTTACTTGCTCAGTCTCATAGGAGGCTGGGAAACCTCATCTCTGGTCACTGGTTCCAGGCCAGTGCGCGGTTGCAAGCAACCGGATGGCTCAAAGGACTCAAAAATGTAACATTTAATTACTCTTTTTTTCCCTTCATGTCCTGCTCTGTGGTTTCAGGGAGCCTCAGGCTGCACACCACAGAGGGGAACAGGCTCTGCAGCCTAGCCCCCCCTCTGGGTCACTGGTTTCCATCTGGTCCTGGGTCTAAGGTGTAGGGATAGACCTGGGATTGAGCAATGAAGCATGTGGAACATTTAGAGTACCATGGCAGAGAAATTGAGCCTCATTAGAAGTTTGGAAAGACTCAGACTTGCTCTAAACTTCTGCCCAAGACATCCTCCGGTTGAGCCAGCAGCAAATGGGCGCGTTCCCAGCTGGAACACAGATAGCCACACATGGCTTTCTTGTCTGCCACCAGGTACAGAAACTGGTGTACTTTAGCAGGCCAGTTGTCACTGATCCTTCATTATCTATTGGCCAAAAATAAGGGCCACAAGGCCTAGGTCCATCTTTCTCCATCAGGTTGGTCCACATTTAAGCAGTATGTGGTGTAGGGTAGGGTGCAGCACTACAGCTCTTGAGTTCCCCGTGGATGCAGGAAGCATGTAAAGGCACTGATGATACACTCTTTGCCAGGGTGTGTGGGCGATGTGAGGGGGGCATCTCTGGCTGCGCTGGCAGGGTGAAATGTAGCTCAGACTGTCACTGTTTGCTGTGCTCTTCAGACATGACACTTTGGGGATCTGAGGCATCTCCTTTCTTCCCCAAGACAAAGGGAGTTGTCCTAGGGGAATGGGGAAGCTGTGGTGTAGGGACAGCCCCCACCACAGAAATCAGGGTGTTATCTGTAGCGGTGACTTTGTGGGGTTATGCAAAGTTTGAATGAATAAGGAGTCAGAGCCCCGTTAATACGACTTGGGCTCCTAACTCACGGAAGTATTTTGTGAAATCTTCCTCTGTGTGTGCAGTGTTTCCTGCACCACTTTTGTCTCACCATTCCCTTCCCTACCCCGGATCGCTCACTGCTGCCTTTCTTTTCACTGCAGAAATCAGGAGTATTTGACCAGCGCCCTGAACTCTTCCCACGGTGAGTGAAGCGTGGAGCTGTGCTCTGGAATCATCAGACGGGGGGGGCATTATTACAATACTATTATTATTTAATCTTTTGGATTATCAAATGTGGGAGGAACAGGGAAGTGTCTGAAGGAAAGCAATGCACAACCCACCTTCCAGGATAGGAGGTGGGCCCACAGAGGTGGGCCATTCTGGCTGACTGGGAAGGCTCTCTCCTATCTCTGGTAATATGAGGTAGGACCTGAGCACCCTGAGCAGGTGGCCAGACCTGCGTGCTCCTTCTAATCCATCCTGGAAGAGCCACAATAGCAGCTTGCAGCCTGAGTGTGGAGCTATATGATTCGTGCAGCTCTGCCTGCTTGGAAAGGGCTGAGGTGTAAGGGACGTGGCTTTTAACTTTGATGAGTCGGGACTGTGAAGATGAGACTTGCCATAAATCCCTGCTTTCCTTCCCCCGGCAGCTGGGTTGGTGTCTCCATGTTTCTGGCATGGTGCTGTGGCCTCTTTCTGCTCCCTGACTCCTTGCCTGGAGGGTCAGGGGCCATAAGTGTAGAGTGCTACTGCAACAGCCAGCCTTATGCTAGTGTCCTTTCTTCGTCCTATGGAAGAGGGAGGGTGAGAAGCCCTGAGGAGAGCCCAAGGGGAAGCACATGGAAACCTGCAGCAGGGTGTGTTAAGAATGGAGAAAACATACTCAGCAGCCAGCTTTACCACACTCTCCTCCTTGGCATGGAGGTGGCTGTCCGGCAGGACTAAATAGCCTTTGCTTGGTCAGCGGGACCCCTGCATGGTCTTTGCAGACTTCCTGATGGTTGCCTGTTTCCTTTCCCTTTCCAGAGGTACCAACCCCTTTGCCACAGTCAAGCTGCGTCCCACGGTCACCAACGACCGCTCGGCACCCATCATCCGATGAAGCGGGGCTGTGGACGGCAGAGCATTTCAGCAGGGAAGGGGGAGGCATACAAGTGATGGGCTGCGACCCCCAGCTGGGCAGCAACCTAGTGCTACCGCTCATGGAGTAACCTCTTTTTTCCCCTCCCTTCCCTCCGGGTCATGGGGACCCATCTCGCCTGGCTGTCTGGCGTGCTTTAGCCAGCAGCAGATCCCTGTTGCTCTTTTTGGATTGCCCCCCGTTCCCCTCCCCGTATGATGTTACTGTACTTGAGTGGGAGAAGTCTGGTGTTACTGGTGCTGGTGGCCTGGGAGAGGGGATGCTGCTGGTCTGGGAGGTGGAGGGACGGATGGGTAAGATCATCTGCAGCATGGGGCAGTGCTAGCAGGATGAGGAAGGCGAAGCTTTGCTAGCCCTGCTGTGGGCAGAGAAGGACACTTGGCAAACAGTCGCTTTGCTTCTAGAAGAATGAACCCCAAAGGGAGGAGGCCTCAAGAAGGCTTCCAGCGACGTGGTCCAGCTGATGGGGTCTGCGGCGTGCAGCTCTCTGCTCTCGGCCCCTTTGGCAACTGCGTCCGTTTGTAGCAGAATCTGCCCCTTCTCAACCCCGGCGCAGCCCCTTCCCTTCCTGGGCAGCCCTGGG